ACACAGAATAGTGCTTTAGTATTGTGTTGTCAGAGTGTTGATTAATTGATTGAAGATTTTCATAGAAAAATTCCAGCTTATGCATAGTTTAATTCTTATGTGCTGTACTACTGCTACTAATTTATAAAGGGATTTTTGATTTGCTTAAGGATCGTAAAAATTGGACATTGAAGAACAAACCATGGTGAAAATAACCGAAAAAACAGAGAAACTAATGAAAAAGGCAATAGGTCAAATTATAAGCACTCTAGATTCTCTTAATTAATAAACATATTTAACTGATTATATAATTATTCTAAATTAATAGGAGAGTTTTCTAAAGAAGTTTATAATAAAATCCTAAGTCACGTGACTTTATCGGTCTCGAACTTTTGAATTCACATCGTTTGAAAAAGAGCATTTTTGACCATAATGACAGTTCATTGTCTCTACCACATCGTAGAAGAAATGATTTTACACCTCTCAGTAAGGGACCGTTACACGTAATTGCAACCGAAATACTTTATACAGCACTTTACTATATAAAATCTTTATTTCGTCAAATAAAACCAACATAATTTTTTTTTTTAAAGTAGCAAATAGCAATAGAAAACTAAATAAGCTATTTTTTAACTTTTTTCGATGAACTAGCCCCTCCTGATGAACTACATTTTCTTTTTAGTGAACTTTCACTTGATGAACTTTCAGAGCTCAAATCAATTCTCAGAGCGTATTGCTTGACGCGATTTTTAATCCAACTTGGCATTCTCCGAATATTAGCATTATTAGTGGCAATAAACTTCTGATTTTGATAGCGATCGTACAACTCTGCCGGTACAACAAAATAAAAGGAGATTTCGCCCGTCCTCGCTAATTTGCTAACAAGTTTCTTCAAACCAATAATCTTAATAGGATGATTTATGGCAGTAGTCATCTGGAAGAGCATATCGGGAGCAATAATTGCATCAATCGACGGAAAATTTTTATTATCCGGTCGATAGTACTTTCCATCCTCAATTGTTTGAACTGCAGAAAACGTAAGTATCTCGTTCTGTTTCTTTATATCTTTATTTAATGTTCCATCGTCATTATTCTCTAAAGAACGAACTTTGAAAGTTCCCCCATTCCGCAACATCCTGTGAGCGATCTGCTCAAAACAGCTACCCAAGTATGGATTGTTTATTCCCTCTGTCAAGCTTAGTTCGAATTGCGTACGTAATTTGTCTAATATTGATATTTTAAGTTTCTCAGTCACTTTTTCACCCACATAATCAGATGCAAATGTTATAGTTTTTAGAGTATAGGGTTCCTCATCGACGTATTCAACTTCTTCACCACTTTCGACCTCTATATCGCTTCCATCATCTTCGCTTTCATCAATCAGGGGGTTCGTGCAGATATGAATAAGTTTGTGACTGACTTCATCTCGGCTATCACTTTTACCAATATAATTAAATCTAGCAATCGCATCTTCGAGCGTATTTTGCTGAGTTGGGTCACTAGCCTTCTCCAGAACAAACCGAGGGATCCCTCCCCATTTAAGAAATAACTGCTTAACCTCAGATTCTTTAAGATGATTATAGATCACAGTCCTGCATGCATCGACCTCTTCCCACTCCCACACCGGCATGTACCGTATTGTTGTCCCGACAAGCTTATCAAAGTTCCTATAGTGATCCTTCATAGGCGAACAGATGAGAATTGTCTTTGCGACATAATCCATCGGTTTCCTACCATCCACGATATACCAAGTTTCCTCATGTTCCAAGTAACCTCTGAAATCGTAAATATTTTTTCGACTAAAAACTCCATTCTCACTGAAGAGAATCGGGGGCTTGTCAAGCTTGTGATATGCAACTGTTTTATGTTATTGTGAAAGGAGATAGAGTAGATAATAGCCGAAGAAGGTTTTCCCAATTCCCGGATTGCCAGTAATACGCAAACGACGGATATTTTCATTCATAAAAATAATATTACACAGGTGGTGATAACATTTACGGATGAACAGAGTGCACATATTGGAACCCTGTGAGTTTTTGCCTAGAAGATAGTAAGCGTCGCTGGATAATTCAAGAAACTGGCCACCATTATACTTCACAACTTTACCATCCTTCAAAGTATTCCAAAACCTTATCATATTTTCATCATCAGAGAATTCTATATATCAGAAAATTATTAACGTAACGAGAATGAAACAACGGCTATCAAATATTAAGCCAATACGCGTTCATTCTATCGAATAAATTTATTACGACTCACTTACCAGTGGCACCAGGTTTTTCTATGAAATGTGAATATGAATTTGAGGCGGGTTTGACAATAAGAAGCAGTAAAGAAAATCACAAGAATAAATAAGTA